GGCGCAGTAAACGCCATCTGTAGCACGATGCTACATTTTAGGATTACGTATACTCCAATTGTTAGATCTCTCTTCCCAAAGAATTGTTTTAAATTTTTGACAAAAGTTTATGGAATGCTATTCGCTCTAGTATGTCGATAATTAATAGAAATCGTAAAAAAAAACTTTTTTTCGGAAACCATTTGACGACGTTCGCTAGTAATAAATATTTAGTGTACATTATGGTTCATTGTTTTTATTATAAATATAAGTCTGCTACGAATGCGTACATAAAGTCAGTCTCCTTACGTCTACTCTCTAAGAGGCCTTACAATCGTTCTTGTTTACGAATTATTACCTGATACATCGAAACCAAAACGCTGTTGATTAAAATTTTTGAATAATTTAGAAAACGAATTAAATTTCTATTGTCAAAACCTTCTGTACATATTATTCTCACTTTGAATTCGTTCATGTAATTGCGTCTCGCTTAATTAAAACGAAAATGTCCATGTTGAAGTCATGTTTTTATTAGCAATTATCTTTTAATTAGGTACCAGAGGTCATAATGCTTTGTTGCCTGAATATTGAATGGTCTTTGTATTTATCAGACGAGGTAGAAAAAGATTTAAAAAACTGTAACATAGTTGTTAATCAAACAGAGAAAAAGAGCAGAGAAGAGGTTTATTAAAAAATAATTATATTTCGATGGGGATAAATTAGAACAGACGAAATTTAATGACCAAAAAGTTTTCTTTCAGAGGATTGAACAGAATGCATGTACTGTAAAATTAATGAACAATATTATCAAAAAGATTTTATATATCTTATATACAGGGTAGTGTGATATCGGGCGCCATCTTAAATGGATTCCTTTACGATGAGGTAGAAGTAGAAACTTCTCCAAGCTCGCTTCGTTGCTTACCCTCTCGTCAGTATTTCTAGCAGATATACCAAATTGGTTTCGTAGTATTTTTAAAACAAGAACGGTCTTAATTGGCACAATATACCTATCTATTCTAACGTTTCTAGCTAAAACATCCACTACCTATAACTCTTCAATTAAAAATAGTCTACCTACAAATTTCTTTCCAAAAAAAACATAGACAATAGTTCATCTGCCTGCAGACTTTGCGCGACATTCGACGCTATTCTTACGTTTAATTAAATTACGTCTATTATTTACCGTAGGGGGTGACAGGTTAACGGTGGAGCCGCGTCGTTCTTGAGGTCCTATGCTTGAGTGTCTTCGTATTGGAAGACCTCCGCCGGGAGTACCTCCAGGTGACGACGCGCACGACGGTGCAATTCTTATTTTTGGAGTCATTAGCGTATTGTCTGACAGGCGCCTGTTCGGGAATGCATTCACGACGCGCAAAAAATTGCTGTCTGGCGATGATGGCGATGCTCCAAACCACCAACCTCCCAGCATTCCGCCTTTAAAAATAAAAAAATGCACAACCACAACTACAATTGACAATTGTGAATAATATATCAAACAGTACAATAATTGCAGCCATGAACGCAGTCTGAGATCAATAGAAACAAAAATTAACAGTTTTTGATGTTTCTCGTTCAGAATCCATTTAATTCTGCGGAAGTTCCGCGGTTGTGGTTATCAGATGCGAATATTTACAACATTTCTAATATATCTAATAATAATCGAGGAGGCGCTCTAATTCGTCGAATATAAATATAGACAGAACTGAAAAAAAAATTCATTAGAACTTTCCTACAATATTGAGATAAAGTTATATTAACCCTGTGCCAGAAATAGACAGCGAGACGTGTTTTTGGAGAGCATTCTCAGGAATAAATTTCTGGAAGTATGGCATATTTTGCGTTTTTTTTATTAGACTATGAATAAAATATACTTAGCTTATAAATCATAACTTTCTGTATTTGGGAAGTCAACGCGATCAATTTTCTGGAATCTATTAAAAATTGAATTATCTGCAGAAGACTTAATTAAATCCCCTACAGTGATAAATATTAACGATCTACCTGCGGACGGAATTCAACGTAGTCTCGCTTATTTCTCTTTAAACCTTCTTCTCTTTTGTACCAGTTCAAATCGTTCAATACTTCTTCAATTTACTCGGTAATAGCTGTCCTTCGACAATTAATTTTCAGTCAAAGTTAATGAGAATTTTACCTGTTAACTGTTTTATGTTTAGTTTTACAAAAAGTCTTCAAACAGAGATGTTTTGAAGTTTAATTCACGTTAATTTTTTACGTGTTAGGATCGATGGTTATTGTAAATTAGAATTAATGTTTTCATAAAATTTGAAGTAAAAAGATAAAAACCATTTGGAAGATAATAGGTAATGTTATGATATCCAAAAATCCTGGGCGTGCGGCACTTTCCAACACGCCTTCCATCATCGTATATAGCTTAAAGTGAGAGTAAGGGAACTTCAAAACGCAAAATACTCCCCTCGAAATGTCTGTTTTATGCTAAAAGTTTTTAAGTGACCTCATGTTTAAATCATACTTCTGGAGTGGTAAAATCTGCATTAGGGGAAATTCGGAATGTTCGACAATTTGGAAAGTTTAGATGTCTTTTAAAAGAATGGTGTTGAATGAATTATTTGTCGACAAGTTTTTTTAAGCTCAAAAGAAATATAAAATATTAGAAAACTATAAAAAAAGCGCACATAAGAAATAAAAATTTAACATTTAAAAAAACATTGTAATGTTCGTGGGTTTAACACAATTAACTTCTAAAACTGATAACGACAAAAACTATTTATTTACACTAATTATTAAAGAACTTAAAAACA